TGAAATGCTTCCCCTTGAATTTCAACGTCTGGTAAAAACGTCTCGTGAACAGCGAATGATTTTGTAAAAAAAAAAAATGAAAGGACAAATGGCTCATATTGACAGATTGGACGGGACGATGAATTTTACGATTGTAAAATCATGTACACAAAAGATAGCGCTGTGGGCGGGGAACCACCGTACGGCGGCACATGTAATCGCAATTTATTAGCCCCGCGCGAAACATATGTCAAAAAGAAGCCCGCGATTACAGGGATTGCGCTACAAATGGTCGCAAATACGATTTATTAAACCGGACAAAGCGTGCGCCCCTTGGAAAAAAACACGCATAAACAGCGGTTACGCTTTAAGCGATGCGACTGTGCCGCGACGTCGCGATAAAAAGTGCCGCTTACAGCGGCATTTGAAAAATTTAATGCAAATGGAGTTGCGCTTTATTGCGTCGAGCGAGACAGAAGCCACCTAAATTTTTCGAAACCATGGCGATCTACGCCCCCCCCCGTACCAGCAATGGCGTTTGGCCGAGGTGCGAAAGTTAATCGCCGTCTAATCGCTTCGTGTCGCGGCAAATGCGCGCGTCGAACAAGACGTCATTTCTCGACCGCGAACACAGAACGGCGGACGATGATGACCACGGAGGAATGTTTATGGAGTATATAAAACCCACGCGACGCGCGTCCGTTGAATTGTGGTGTTACATTTTTATTTTACTGGTGGATGTGGTACCGAGTCGTCTCATTGCACTTTTGCGACCACATCGGTTTACGCAAGACCTTCGCATTATCTCCCAAGTTATTAGCGTGCACGAATATTCGAAACACAGCAAATGTTCGTTCGGGTTTTTACATTTTTTTTCCGAACTGCCGCTGAAAAATAGAAAAAAAAATCACTTTTCGTTACGTCGGTTAACACATGTTTTTATATTATTATATCTGCCTCTCTATTTGCAAACACAATATTTGATGTTTGGTATCGAAAACGATAGAATAAATAGACAAACGTTTCCCCTAATCCACGATATTTTATTTTCTCCTCCGATTCAACACTTTCACTTTTTCAAACACAAATTCTATCAATTTTACAATACGCTACCTAATGAGTTTTCTGTCATTCGCATCGAACACGTTGAAACTGCCAAGTGCTTCAATAAAACAACAAAGCAGTTTTCAATAGCCAATATCTTTTGCATTTGAATCACGGTATACGTCTATGAAATGATGGCTATACAGATGCTCGACCTGAATCAGTACAAATGTCGTCTCGAATCGAAAGTGCTAAACATTCTCGCTCGGCTGCATTTTCCACCGTTAAGCTCCTCAGGGCGGCAGATCGAAGAGAAGTCTGAAGTGCTTCATCGTCGACGCAAAAAGCGCCATTGGCGCGGCGCTATCGCGTAGGGACCACCTAGTTTTTATTCCCCTCCATTACACGAGACCTTCCTGAATGGGCCACGGGAGAGGACGCACGACGGGTCATTACGCATTCATGAAGATTATATGCAGTTCAGGCACGTCGCGCGTGGGAAATTGGGCCGAGATTGTCCTTATCGTCATAAATCACGTTTGATATCGCCGACTTTTCATTCCCAGTCACTGTCGATCGCGAAATCTTTCACATTGTCAGATTTCTTCTTCCGTTCAGAAATGTGCTCGTCTTCAATATCCATAAATACTTGAAGATATGTATGAGTACACGAGAGAGAAAGAGAGAGAGAGAGAGAGAGAGAGAGAGAGAGAGAGAGAGAGAGAGAGAGAGAGAGAGTGTGTGTGTTCTAATTTAAAAAATTGAATTGCATATATATATACATTATATATACACGAAATTAAATTTTTTAATTAGTACCGAGGGGGAAACCGCTGATGGCATTGTGGTGTACAGATTTGCGGCATTACTGGGCATTTCTAGGCACTACTAGACATTCTTGGGGCATTTTTGGGCCTTAGTTTGGACATTAGGCCTTGCTGGGGCATTATAAAGATAAAATAAGATAAAACGAGATAAATAAAATAAAATAAGATAATAAGATAAAATAATGCCCGCTGGGCATTAGTGGGCATTGGCGTACAAGATTTTGGTCAACGGTTTTCCCCTCGATTAGTATATAAAACTACAATAGAAAACAAAGAAAAGAATGCGCTGACATTTGGCCGTCGCAAAATTCCCGACCAATATTTCGCCGGGAATTGAGTTTCGTAAAGAAGAGTACTGATCGAAAATGGCTGTAGTAAAGAGAAGCAAGGATAACGTAACGACCGCTTTGCGTGCTTGCGATAATCAACGCGAAGCGAGCCAAGTAAGAGTATGGTTGAAGAAAGGAGGGCAATGAGTTAGGATTGGAGAAATTAAAAAGAGAAAAACCGTCGGAGTTTAGCGTGATTCTTTATTGCGCTTACCTTTGGTGCTTCGAGATTGAAATCGTACCGATGGAAAGAATGGTCTACGAATTATTGTAAAACAACAAAGGCAACGAAAAGTTAGTTCAACACAATGATAAGGACGAATTCACCGAATCATCTTACTTCGTAACTCGATTGGCGACTACGCGGAAAGGAAAATGTAGCTACCGTAGCTAAAAACTGCATGCAGCAACTGAATTTCAGTTGTAAAATATGGACAGCGAATATTTTAGTTGCGATGGCTGAACATTTTGCTACTGTGCCTGTTGTATTAGGTGCGACAGCAAACTGTTCGCTGTGGTTTAGAAATTTATAGTTGTGGCGGAAAAATATTTTTAGCAAACCATGATTAGCTGCGATAGTGAAAAACTGGTTTCAGTGTATAAAGCTTATTCTACAATGGACGCAAGACGCTAAGCCGCAAGGCAACACTGTAAAAAAATTACATATAAAATTACAATTATTATAGTGGGTAATATTGGGGCCATCTATTAAAGGTGTATATTTACATACGTCAGTAAATTTACACGGTGCAGGTAAAATTATTACCTTATATAATAAATTTTTCAATTTTTTGTAATTTTTTATTAAGTATAAACAAGTATTTACACAACAAAGAGTAAACAAAATTTTATTTATAAAAGTACATAAATTTATATATTTCCGCTATTATATACATACTTTTTTTACAATGAAGAAATCGGCCAATGACAGTCGATCATTCTTCTCGTATTCAACTGTGATTAGTCGATTTCTTACGTTGCGGCTTAGCGTCCGCGTTTTGCGTCCATTGTAGAATAAGCTTAGCGATTTCGTGCGACGCCAAAAACAATGAGAGCTAAAATTTATACTAAAATAAAAATTGAAATCGCGCCATTCCAATTGAGAAACTAATATCTACGCGCACGTGTTACGCGCACGGTATCAAATGTATCTATCATTTCCAGAAACCGGAAACAAACTTTATCTTCATCGCGTTGAAATCTCGACGAAGGGCAATGAATCAGGATTCCTCGCATTTTAATAACCCCGACAGCACTGCCATCATATTTCACTTGCGTACGCGCCTAAGTCATTGCGCGGCCCGCAAAACGTCACGCGAACCGCCGGGACGAACCGTAATTTCCATCAGCTGCGGTAAGTGGTCCGAGCAATAATCACGTGAGAACGCAATTTTACGGTCCGTCATGCCGGCAAGGCTTGCAGTTAAATTTCTATTGCTCTCGCCGCTCCGTCCGACTCGCCGCAGAGTCGTTATTACGACGCATCGGTTAATTTTACAGCACGACCGAAATATATCCGGCCGAAGAATGCGTCGCGCACGTCACTTACGGCAATGCGAAATTGCTTGCGGTAGTGCAGTCATATGACAATCAAGTGCACCATTGCCGGAAGCTGAAATTCAGTAATCTTAACGTTTAACAGCGAGTTCGGTTGCTTGCACACTGAGTGCACACTAAGGCTTGTTTACAGTCGACTCCTACGTTAAAGGATCGTCTTACATATCTCTTGAAATATTTCCCAGCCGGTAAAACGATCTGCACAGCATCTGTATAGATCATTTTTTGGCTAAATACTTTGTGAACGTGTATTTAAGATGAAGTTAAATATAACAATTAACTATAAACAAGCCTTAGTATCCACTCAGTGCGCGCTGGTGCGAGCAACCGAATTTGCGGAAAGTTTTAATTTATGAATGGCCCAATTTTTGTCCAACGCGATAGAAAAAGGAGACATAATGCGTGGCACAGATGCGCCTACTTTAATATCATGCTAATGTAGCACGCTTTTTCTAAGGATGTGGCCGAAGAAACAGCAATTCTGTACTAAAAGATAAAATCTACGAATTCTATTCGCGCCATACATAAATACACGAATTATCACAATACATTCACATACTTATAAAAATATTATAATATATTCTGTAATCTCGATTCATTAAGGGGTCATTCCACGGCCCAAAAACTACGCTTATCTTTAACAATTTTTTTTCACAGTAAATACACCATACAATGAAGTAAATCTTTTTGGGATTTATTAGGGCGCTCTTAGATAAAAGGTACTTTACAAAACCTTTTTCAAACTGGCACCACTTTGTTATTTTTAAATAAAAGTTCGTAATTGAGGTTCGGAACACTCGTATAGATTAAGTATCTTTTTGGTTTTTGTTTCAGGTAAGCCTGAATGATAAAAGCGAGGGGGGAAACCGCTGAGGGCATTGTGGAGTACAGATTTGTGGCATTATTGGGCATTACTAGGCATTGCTAGGCATTTTTGGGCATTAATTTGGGCATTAGGCCTTGCTGGGGCATTATATAGATAAAATAAGATAAAATAAGATAAAACAAGATAAATAAGATAACATAAGGTAATAAGATTAAGTAATGCCCATTAGTGGGCATTGGTGTGCAAGATTTTGGTCAGTGGTTTCCCCCTCGAATAAAAGTCATCAACGCAGCAGACTCGCATTTTTTTTGACACGCCATTCGAACGGTGTAGAAAACGCTTAATTAAACAATTGTTTAAATTATGATAAAAAATTTTTTGTGTTATTTAAGAGTGCCCTAATAAATCCCAAAAAGATTTACTTCGTTGTATGGTGTATTCACTGTTAAAAAAATTGTTAAAAATAAGCATAGTTTTTGGGCCGTCAAAGTGGAATGACCCCTTAAATGATCATCATTCGTCGAGTGGTGTTTTCTCATCTAATTCGTTGCTTTTCTCAGAAGAGACGCACTCGTGGAATGGCACGTCCACTCTTTCGGGGTGAGACTTTTTGTCGAAAGACGTCTGAATCTCGTGCAAGGTTTTATTTTTGGTTTCAGGAAGTACGAAGTACAAAACACTAGTCCCGAGCAATGCCACGGAACCGTAAACGGCGAACGTACCCTCGGGCTTTACAAATTCCATCATAAGCGGCATCGTCTTGATCACCACGAAGTAGCACATAAAACCGAAGCCGGACGTTAATCCGGAACCAAGCGCACGGTGTTTTCTCGGGAACAGTTCACCGCAAAGCATCCAGGGTAAAGGCATCAGTCCCAATGGCAGCAGACCGACGTAAGTAATAAGTAGAATCATGGGGCTCCATGGTCTTCCAAAGTCAAATGTCAAACACGCGCTTAAAGATAGCATGGTGATAGCTGCGCCGAAGCCGGATATAAACGTCATGGTGCGCCTGCGGCATGTTTTCAGAAGAACGCACACGAGAACGGAGAACGTCAGGCGAATCGTGTCGACGACCAGCGTTATCAGATACGCATACGCCGGGCCCGAGACGTCCGCCAGCATCTCGACACAGTAGAAAGTCATCACGTTAGTCCCCGAGAATTGCATGACGAAAAAGTACAGACCGACGACGCCGAGAGGCCTCAGGAAGTGTCGCGAGGACCACGTACTCCTGAACGAACGCAGCAACGACCGTTTCTCGATCTTCTTTCTTGACTCCTCCGCGAGCTTGTCGATTTCCAGCTGGGAGAATTCCTCGAGCGACTCTTCGCCACGCAGGAATATCCAGGAGCGCCTCGCCTCCTCGATCTTGCCTTTACCGAGTAGCCACAATGGACTCTCTTGCGAATAGATGCAGACGATCCAACAGATTACGGGTAACACGCCACAAATGTACGCGGTGGTTCGCCAATGTAGCCAGGTTCCCATCGCGTGACACGCTAATATACCGACCGAGAGGGTCAGGCTGACTGCCCCCAGCAGAACGCCACGTAACAGAGGATCGCTCGTTTCGCCCACGTAGATCGGATATATGGGCGCCAAGAGTCCGGCGCAGTACCCAGTGAGGAGTCTGCCCGCTATCAAAACCTCCATGCTGTCGGCCAGGCCGATAATCAACCAGCCGATAAGATAGGCAGGAAATAGTAGTAACAACGCTGTCCTTCTGCCGAGTTTCCCCGCCATGAAACCACCGGTCCAACATCCCGGAGCTACTGGTAGAATCACAGCTGCCGCGATCCACGACTCCTGGCCGATGCTGAGCACCCCGAAGTGATCCGCGCCCGCAGATTCGAATAAAGACCCACTGTCGTTGGTCGAGAGTGTCTTCAGCTGCGGGAGAAGAATCGCGCTGTAACCGTTTGACATGCCGGACACGGAGACTCCCATTAACGGTCCCAGAGCTGTTAGCAGTTGCCTGAGATACAACCTGAATTTGGTATCTGGCCCGTCGTAATTATTAATCTTCATTATGGCACCAATAACTATTTAGGTCGTGGTAAAAAATGACGCAACTGTTCACTTATCTACGCTGTTTGCACACTTATCTAGGCCAAGATACAGTTTCGTCCGCTATCGCTTTCAAATAAATTTTTCTAAGTTTAAATATGAAATGCACACACTACGAACGTTCAATCGAGAATGCCGCTACGAGATTAGCTGGCGTTGATCGACAACGCAGCTGAGATAAACGTATTAGAACTAAGTAAAAATAGATCGCTCTCCAAACAAGTATTTACGTAAAGCGATACTAGCGCTCGCGGTTCTAACTGCGCTTACTCTTGGCGCGAGATACTACAGTGTCTCGTGATCTGTGATTATGTAAAGTTGTTTTGCCAGTTGCTTTTTCTCCCTTCGTCTTTATCTAGTCACTTTGCTAGCCGCGGAAGCGGACTAGGTTTTACACACAACTGAAATAACAGAATATCGATAAAGGGATAATTCGTGCAGTTTCACCGATGACTGCTAGAAAATTGCAATTGTGTCCAATGCGTTGAGATTAAAATAATGGTTTGTTATTAGAAGGAAGTCATTTAATTATCTGGCTACGAAGGTCGCTGAATCCTTTTTGCTCTCACAAGGAAGAACGGTATGAAATATAAACTTCAATTTCACGGTTGTTTTCTCTGAAGAGGGAAAATTTCACGTAATACCGCCGTGTGTCAGTCATATGATGTTGCATCCTTTTACAAACTAACAAGATGTAATCTCCTTTGAAATGATTTGAATACCATTGAGATCCTTTTCAAAGGTTTTAACGCTCGAAGCTACTCAGATAGTGCCCCGCCAGTATATTCTCAGCAACATTAATATAAAAATGGTGGAAAAGAAGAGTACGATAAGCAAGATGTATTGTGATATAGAAGTTGCCACAGCGTTACTTTAAAAATTTATCCGGAAAATATTGCAATGTCAAAACAATCTGCGAGACAAGCGTAAACTAATCATCACATCGTACGTAATGAAACAATAATAATAAACTTGAACTTTATAAATAAAGAACGGAGGGAAAATGTATTTTTGCTCATCCGCTAAATGTGCAATTTTACCATTTTCCATGTCCTTGTCACCTAGCGATTAAAAAAGTGCCGAGGTCCGTGCGGTACAGAAATCCAACCCTACATCCTTCTCACACGGCAAATTCGGGTGTCTCGCGTTGAAATAATTAAGGTCCGCCGTTCTGTAGGAAATTAGACGTACCACATGCGTGACGCGCGCATACGCCCTCGCATGAAAATGAAACTGAAATCTCCATACATCTCCCTTCGCGCTTGTGCAAAATAATTTTCCCGCAGCGCCATGGAATACGCGTGGTATTTTAACTAGCTGAAAAGGGATTTAAATGATCCGGGGTGGCGGCCGCGGGAATTTGAGAGCCGTGAATTTAATACGCACCCCTCATCGAGCGACGGAGTGTTTCGTATTTTGGACTGCTGCCAAATGCGATTTTCGCGTTATTTATCTTTCGCGAGCGAGGATACGCGCGTCCGCGTACGAGGATGAGGGTCGTACACATCGATGTGCCACAATGCATCGTGTGCTTGTTCCGACGATTAAAAACTAACGACTCCGCGAGAGAGGCAAGCAGTAATACCAAGCGAGAGATATTTAACACGTTTTTGGTGTTTCGGGTGTAATTAAACGCTTTTGCACCGTTTTCGCTGCTAATTTCCGCCATTAATTTCGAATAATTCTTATCCGTAGAAACTGCATATTTATACCCTTTGCAGGAATCGTGCAATAAAGGTGCGTAAAAAAAACTCGCGCAGAAGAGGAAAAACGTCTCTTATATTTTAGAAGCGTCCTTTTATATACTTTCGACATGTTTTCGTCTTTAACTTGTTAAGATCCGTGCCGAAAAAAAAAGATCTAAAGAGATTACTTCTGCAAGTGATCTAATTTTCCCGAAAGTGAAGGAAAGAAATCTTCCTCCTATCGGCCTCGTTTGAGACTTTACCCGTAAGTTTCGCGTGCGTATTTCAGGACCGGTCGATAGTTAAAATTCTCGCAACGCGGGGGCAATCAGTAAACCAATAGAAATCAAGAGATCGGACGGGCAAATAGTGAACCTGGCAAATTTCCGCCAATTCTATTACCGGATTTCTAACTCTGATATACGGTAAATATTCTGTCGCAATGTGCCTGCTGTTCATCTACTTCGGCTCACGTCGCGTACGAGATACGCCTTTTAATGTCGAGGACTCTCAAAAGTCTCGTTATCCCGCGAGCCTGCACTTCGACATTAAAGGGAGGACTTGTTTAAGGGCGAACGCTTTTACGAGAGTACCCGTCGAGATCCACGAAGAACAAGGAGCTTGTGGGTGCATTTTGATGAACTCGAGAAAAAAATAAAAGTCAGAATGCAGTTTCGCGAAAGAAGAGCATAACAGCTGGCAATGATGACGGCGAGAGTCAATGCCAAATTAATATTATATGCAACATAAATTTGATCACACGTCACGTAAATTCAACCTCGAAAACGTCACTCCAGTATCTTGAGATATACATATATATTTAAACGTTTCTATAAAATGAACAGGGCAGCTGAGGGACGATGCAATATCGTCAGCATAATTTCTGCATGGATACAATGTTTACGAAAGCTTCTCCTTCGTAAAAGCGCCGAAATTTGGCGGAAAATTTATAAGCGCAATCTCGGGAGAAATTTCTGTAAGACCTCGGGTAATTCTAAGGTTTAATATAAGTTTCACTCGTCGTCTCTTCTCGGCCTCGTGTACATGAGAAAGAGAGAGAGAGAGAGAGAGAGAGAGAGAGAGAGAGAGAGAGAGAGACTTATTTAACGGTGGATGCTCTTATGAGAGTGCATTTCGAGTACCAGGAAGGCCAGGGACATCGTGGATGAATGTTGACAAGCTCTTGAGAAATGATGCAAGGAGGCTTCGAAAGTATGTCCTTTCGTAACGATGAAACCTCTGTGAAATGTTTCCTGCTATTATTTGCGTACAGTGTGCTCATTATACCATAATGATGATACTATGAAGTACATAATAATATGAAAGTTATAGAGTTCTTTTTAATTCGCATAAACACAAAATTTCACCGTAAAAATACAAGAAAAAATAATAAATATAATATATCTGATCCTTAATTCGTCTCGTGACTATTGTACTATTAATTAGATGAAAATAGCTTTTGTCGAATTTGAATGTTTACTCATTATACCATAATGGTGATACTATGAAGTGCATAATAATATGAAAGTTATAGAGTTCTTTTTAATTCGCATGAACACAAAATTCCACCTTAAAAGTACGAGAAAAAAATAATTAATATAATATATTTGATCCTTAATTCGTCCCGTGACTATTTGTACTATTAATTAAAAGAAAATGGCTTTTATCGAATTTGAATGTTTACCTTAGGAAACAAATGTGTTTACTTAACGCTAATATATTTATTAGTAGCAGAACATCTGTCTGTTCCAAAATACTCTGTCAGTCTAGCGCACCTGATGACTAAAAGCTTTGAGAAAGCCGCTTCGCCGCCGTCGAACGTGGATAGGCCAGCTCGCGCAGGGAGATTGATGCGTTCCGGAGCAGAGAAAAAACAACTCGCGTGGGATGCATTTGTTCGGGAGGGTTTCAGGTGAAGAAAAAAGGCTACTTCTGTTGGAACGACCAAGAGGAAAGTTTCCATGCGAGAGAGGCGGCAGGAAGGGAGCAAATGACGGAGGTCGCGAAAACGAGTATACTAACTTGGGGATACCGAGGGATGATCGAAAAACGGGCTTTCAGACCCTTTTCGACGGCCAAACGTCGTGTTCTTTGTAAGTTCTCGCTTGAATACTCCTTTTTTTTATAGTAACCATGCGACGAGGAAATCTGCGAAAACTGGTTAATCGATTGAAAAATATAAAGAAATGTAACACGAAATGTAATGGAAATGAAAATGCACAACTGTCATAAGTCGGGCGTGTAATTGCAAAATCGAGTCAGAAAATTGTTTAGAATGCACAAGTCATTAGGTCGTAAACTTCTGGAAACGAATAATTAAAATGTTATAAAATTTTTATTACTTGACAACGCAATTTGGAACCGTTTTATAAATAGGCGATTCGCACGTGCTGAACGTATTTAATTAAAAATGCATGCGCAACGTCATAAAACTGTACAATATTTTTAACGTTTCGCAGTATATTTGGCGCAAAAATTACATTTGGGCAGCTATGGCTAGAATTCGTTCATAAATAAAATGAAAAGTTAATCCTTTTTCCTCCGCGGGGAAATCAACATTTATATACACGAAATACATTAATACAATGTACTCCACGTACATAAATACGGTTTAACATAGCCGATTGATGCAAAAAAAAATATCGCTCAACGTGGCAAGTCGTTTAGTTTTTGCGATTTATTTTGCACATTTTGCATTATCTAAAAACCGACTTACTGAAATTTTTCAAAAAATTGCGGATTAATTTAAATAGCCTTGGAAAATGATCGGCTATTGTTCATCGATCGGACTACCAATTTCTCATGCTTCTCACAGCGGATTCATAACGCGTCCCTCTCTTTGCAATAATATCCAATATATTACTGATGTCCCACATACGAGTCGTGCTAGCGGATGGCGAAATGATTGTTTTATGAGTAGCTCCATTGCATCGTTCGTGGAGACTTCTCAGGATATGAGCAAAACTTTTTTTTACAATAAAGGACTTGCAACGCAAAATAGTGTGAAGATTTGCGAAAACAAATGTGCGTTTGCATAGTACAAAAAAATTTGTTTTTAATAAGGAGATCGATCTGATGCTTTGTACAATACAGATATGCTATTGTGTATCTCTTATATGTGCTCCAATATTCATGTATTTTTATAAAACACAATTTGAATTAGAAAATTATATACAGTATGCAATTATACACAATAGGATAAAATAGAAAAGAACGGATTGTTAAATCCAGAAGCAAATCCGGAATGTAAATGTGTTACATATTTTCCCTTTTTTGAATAAGCAATATAATATAAAAATTGAGACGGGAAACTTATAGTCAATCCAACTGGCTAGTTATTTTATTAGTTTATTACACAACGTTTCAATCCTATTTTTTGGTCCTTTTCAAACAACGTAATTATGAAATAATGTGAGTTAATAAGTAAAACCGCTAAAAGTTAAACAACGCACCTAAGTCGGCCATCGAGTCGTCGAATAAGACAGAGTCGAATTATAAAATATACGCATACGTGTGAGCACTGTGGTTGCTGGGCTCGAACTAATTTGTTAGTCATGCCTTAGAAACAATACAAGGTGATATTGCGAACCATACAGTTTTGATTACACAGTCGTATATTACATTTAAGTTTTCGGTGTCTGTTTGTAAATTTAACGTGTTATCGGTCTTCTTGATAAAAAACATTTCGGCGATTTCTCTTTTTCTCCTGATGCGCTCGCTATGTAAAATTCTTGGTTTCGATCAATATATTAATATAATATAAGTAATTTCTTGACATTCAGTTTCAAATCAGTAAATTTCAAGAAACATATGTTTTTGCTTTCTATTTCGTGCTTTACTTTTATATCAGATAAAGGAAATGTTCATCTTTTAATATCAAATCTCGTTGAAAGATTCTAACTACGCGTCGATATTCTAATCAACCGTTTTCTTCAGTAGTTTAGAGGTATCTTTACATTACAAATCCGTTTGCAGCGATTTGCGGTGCCAAGTACTTCAACAAACAAAGTTTAAATATCGTAAAAAGAAGTCAAATAATTAATCAGTGACAATATCAACACACAGTGTAATATAATATGGCATATAACCGTGCCTCTTGCTTAAAAATGCTGCGATTCAAGTATATATAGTTCTGGTCGTCTCGTCACTCTTCCATACAAGCTTCATTCACTTACGAGTGAACTTAGCACAAAACATTACTAGAACATTACAGTGTTTCTTGATACACCTATCATACACCACAAAAAATTTAGGTAGTGAATGAAAAGCAATGTGAAAATCATAATTTTTACTTA